TTCCAGACTCCTCTGGTGGAGCGTCGTTGGTACTGGTCGTTGTTACGAATGCTGGTGCGACCCAGGTTGTCATTCCACGCCCAATCGTGTGACATTAGACATATATCATCTGCGAAATCCAGATCTTCTAAAGTCTTCTTATCGGTCGTCTAGCGCATTCTTGACTCCTCACCCCCAACAGTCGAAAGCATAGTCCAATCCACGATAATGAAGAATATCATCGATGATAGTAGGCAGCAAGCTTGTCTTACTCCTGTATGCACTTCGAACGCCTCGCTGAGTTTTCCGTTGTGGACCACCCTACACGTGGCATTGTCATATAGATGTTGAATGAGGTTGACAAAGACTTGGGCACTGCACGTCGTAGTGTTGAAGTAGTTTCAAGATTACTTCTCGGTCGACGCTGCACTGTCGGAGGCCTTTTCGAAGTCTATGAAGTTGAGGTACACGTTTGACTACCATTCTATGCTTTGTTCGGTGATGACGATGCGGAGAGTTGCAATTTGATCAGCACATGATTTGCCTTTCCTGAATCCAGCTTGTTCCGGTGGCTGGCGGAGTTCTGTATCCAGTGCATCCTTTATACTCTCCAGGATGATGCGAATTAGTATTTTACTTGGCGTGGACAAGTAAAAGTGAAAACAAGTATTTCAATACAGTATGAATATTTGTAGATATGACTATAAATATTTACACCAGTCTTTTGTATTAGCTCCTGGTGTTAGTACCACTGTCAACTAAGACATCACAATCAGTAAAGACACCAAGCTGATTTATAAACGAAAAACATTACAAGTAGTGTAATCACATCCACAACTAACTGATATAAGTCAGTTAACAAGAATTTTACTCATCAGGAGTAGAAACAACAAGGCTTCACCAATCAACTGCAGATGATTTTTTAATCAAATTCAATTTGGGCCACTTCAACGTGCATATACCAGTTTACTTGCTCTTGCGGAGCTGAGTACATCGGCCGTACTATGCGCCAACTTGAAAAACGCGCTCGTGAACACTATCCAGCCTGGCTAGTAAAAGGAGAACGAAAACGTGTATATAGTTCAGTGACAGAACATCTGGTCAGTTCAGGACATTCAGCTCCATTCGAAAAATCCTTCAAAATCATATACAAGATTCGATCAAACCTATCAAAGGGAGTAAAATTAAGACATCTGGGAATAGCCAAGCCACTAGCTATCCAAAAGCTCAAACCCACTCTATGGATCCAAAAGAAATACGTCCAACCCTTGTCCCTGCCATGGCCATCATAAACAGGTAATTCTTTTAGTAATGACCATCCCATTATCTTTCTTATCCAAACTTCCTGTTTATTCATGTTATTTTTAAATTTTTCTTAATCCATATTTACACTACCATATTTTCATATCCGAACTTCCTGTATATTTTGTCATTTTATTATTTCTACATATTTAATCCTTAACTGCATAAACAGTTATTCGTCACATTAGTTATGATCCCACTAGATTTTTTATCCAAACATCCTGTCTATTTTTGTTATTTCTACATTTCTAACCCTTAAATGCACAACATGTCTATCTTCTCAGTAATTATGATGCTACTTTGCTTTAGTTTTATCCGTCTTCCCTGTTTATTATGGCATTTTAATTCCTAATTGTAATTTTATTAATTTGATCCTTGACCAGAAATTATTCTGGAACTTCCCGCCCCCCTTCATTTATTATAAATACACGAATGTACAGCCTGGTGGATGACTTCATCGAAAAGAAAATTTTCTTCGCTGCAACCGTCTTTTTAAAAATTCAATTTTCTGTTCACTATATGTATACAAATAAACTGAAGTGACTACCAACGAAGTACTGATCAGCTGGACGACAAAAATTCAATAATTGATGTAAACATGCACCTATCATAATGACAACAACAATAACAACCAAAAAACGTATTGATGAAAACAACCACAACAGTAACTAAATGTTTTGATTACAGTTCAACAAAACGTGATTTCTGAACAATTTTTTTTTCAATTTCGAGATGTATGCAATTAGCGCAGTGCAATTAATATTTCACTAGATGTTGTTGAAATTGGTTTAAATTTATGAATGGAAGTTATACTTTCACTATTGAGGGTTTTCTCTGAGTGTATCTGATGAGAAAGTCGTGGGTTAGGGTGGTAGTAAGAATGTACTACTAAAGTCTCCAAAACTCAGACGAAAAAAAGCTGTCTATTGCTCCTTAACTGCCAAGGTTTCTCTAAATAATGCACTCGGTCCGTCACGAGATCTCCCTTGAAATAAGGAATATTTCTGGAATTCCTAAGACCCGTATAATCTACTCCAGGAAAAAGCTTCAAAACTACACAGTGTGGCAATTATGATTGTCACTAGGATGATATATTTTCACACCATTAGCTTTTTTATTCCTTTTGCGTTCCCAGTGGAACATAGGGAGCCTTCAAGATAGAGCTTTGAAGTTTCTGTAGCAGTGGTGTTTATTTTTACAGGATGGGGTTGCTAGCCTCATGACTAACCTTCCCTCTTCACCGGTCCTACTACTGGCTGAGCGAGGTAAAGGAGTACGTCGGTGGCCAGCGACCGAACCTTGGATCACATACGTGGTTGGCGTATATTTTACAACTTAGCCACCGCTGCCGCACATTTTCACATCATGGATTATGATAATTCGTCTGACATTCTGGTTTCATTTGATTACTACAAAATGACACAAAGTACCAGTAATATTCAGAGTAATTCGATGCACGCTATCGTTTGTGCACTTATGCACCAGACACAGTGAGCCAGATCTAATTTGTGAAGAATATAATTCTATAGAGGCTGCAGACTTTTATCAGCAGTTGCCACCTTCGCTGGCTCCATACTGAAAATCAGATGGCCAGAAAGAATTATCAAAAGGAAACACTGGGAACGAACCAATATAGAAGAAAAGATGGGTCCGACAAACGCTAAGGAGACCACTGAGAGATATCGGACGCCAGGCAAATCCTCCAGTGGAGCCCAAGTACGAAACAATAAATTGTGCGTCCAAGGATGACGTGGAGGAGTAGGAGACGAAAGCCTATGGGGTAACCGTAGAGTCAGCAAAATAGGACTAGAGAGAACAGTATCAAATGTCCTATTGAAATCCGTGTGTTCCTTTTAGGTCTCCCATGTTTCTCCACAATACTGGACTATATGCTTTCTCCGACAATAAATCTATCTCCCTGCCATTTGATTTTTTTATGCTGATGACCACCTCTTTTTTCTTTATTCTTTCACGTTCCCAGTGGAACATAGGATGCCTTCAAGGTAGAGGCTCGAAGTTTCTGTAGCAGTGTTGTTTATTTTTACAGGATGGGGTTGGTAGCCTCATACCCAACCTTTCTGCATTGCCAGTTTTATTACCAGAATAGCGACGTAAGGGGTGCGTCAGCCGGAGATCGAACCCCGGATCACATGCGTGGCCGGCGAGAATCCTACCGCTGCACCACTGACGCGCATGGATAATCAGTATATATAACTTTAACCTTTAAAGAACTTATGGAATATTCAATAAAAAAATCGTCTTTTCTGTATGCTTACCAGGCAGTATTTATAGATGATGTATAGTTATCACGTGGCTTTTGCTACTAATAAGATTTATCAGTAGTATATAAAAAGGTGTCCATTGGCCTAACAAACATCAAATAGCAGAGAGATACATTTGAAGTCAGAGATAGCAAATGATTCAGCCTAGCGGAGGAACATGGACGACGTAAAAGAAACACACATGATATGAAGGAAGACGAGAAGTAGGACAACACAGAAGATCTGTACAAATGATGCATTGGAGATAAGGTGTACATAATTTCGCTATAACCAAGTCTGTCGTCTTCTACCGGTTACGCTAGTAGCAAGAAAATATCAGAGCAAGAATTTGCAGGAATGAAACTTCACTTGCGTCGAAAAGGAAACACCCCATGAATTTGGATTTCAAGGGAGATTTAGCAAGCGATATTCTCAAGAGAAGGATCACATCATCTCTGAGAAGAACATTCTTTGCAGCAACGTTAAGAATAGTGTTCTCCAGTCGCCCACTGATCTGCAGGAGCCTTAAGGAAAAGATCCCGCATCTGACCACTTCTATGCGCATATGCCAGTTCACCTGCTACAGTGAAGCCAGGCATATCGGTCGTTCGACGCGCATCCTATCCAAGAGGATTCAAGAACACTATCCAACATGGTTGCGAAAAGGCAATACTGGTGCTATAAGGAGTGCGATAATGGAACACCTGGTTAACACTGATCATTCCATCTCAACAAACGCCTCCTGCTTCAAAGTAATCTACAGAGTCAAGAATACCTACCAAAAGCTATATAGTTTCATCTTCTTTGTATCTCTGAAGCTCTGACCATACACATAGAAAAACCGGAGCTGCGCTTACGAAAGAGAATTACTCAACCACTTCTAATATCATGGTAACAGAATTGCTGATTTTTCATGACTTAATTTTGTTTGTTTGCCAGTTTCGCTAATTGCTTATAATTCTTGTACTCATTTAGAACTCTTACGTAAATTCGTATTCTCTACTTTGTTCCAATGTGTATCCTAAATACAACTCAATCATCGAACTATTCATATTATTACATAACTCCTTTTTAATAACTCTTTTTGTGACAACTCATCACCTTTGTTACCACACTATTTTCATTAACAGCCAATTTTCCTGACCGTTTTGATGCCCAAACTTTCCTCTTTACCAGTCTTAGTACTCGGCTTAACTAGGTAAAGGAGTGCGTCGGTGGCCGGGGATGGAACCCCGGACCACATGCGTGGTTGGCGAGCATTCTACCGCTGTGCCACCGACGCCCTCCGCTGACCATCTCTATATATACTACTAGTAAATCTTATCAGTTGCACACGCCACAATATATTTTTGTTTCAGCAGTCTAGTTGAACGCTGACACTGCCTGGACTAGTATTCATGAATACCCCCCTCCTCCCACATAGAAATAATGATGTAAGCACACACATTCATAGTTTAAGTGTATATTTATTAACAGACAGATGAATAATCAATCAATACCAGCTGGTTAGTTAGTTAGTAGTATATTGTAAAAAATAGTATACATCTTGGAAGGAGATAAAAATAAAAAAATTTCTTTTTTCTTTAAGTACACACAAAAGAAAAAAGAAACCACTGGAGATAGAGAGAGAGAGACAGAGAGAAAAAGTGGTGACACACACACAAACAAACACACACTTATACACAGGTACAGAGACGACCGCACACACGCCCACGCACACACAGGTAGGTGGTGTAAAAGTAAGCTAAAAAACAGTCGAACTCAAGTGATAAATACAAGAATATAAAAAAATGATTGAATAATAATAATATCTTATGCAATCAGACAGAAAATATGTGAGAAATAGCTACACCTTCACACACACACACACAAACATAAGAGTGACAGGTAGAGAAAAGAGAGATCGATGCATGTGTGTTGTGTAAAGAGTGCTTCTTTTACAAACAGAGAAGATATGTTTTTTCAGAAGTGAATTACCAGAATATATACGTCTATATTATAGCGGCAACCTCTACAAAACAAGTTTCATCACTACGGAAAAAGAACAGTTAACAGATTTTTACAATCGAGAAGAAATGAAATGATCCTTCAAGAATACAGCGAAACAAACACTACATCATACATATGATATTTAAGGCGCACTATATATAAGAATAAGGGAGGAGGAGGAGAAGGAGAAGAAGTACAACCTGAGTATGAAGAGGATGGAGGATACACGATGCAAGGTAGTGACTGACCTAGGATAATGCCAATAATGATAATGACAACGTCTCAGATATTAATTCTCTTTTTTTCTTTTTGAAAAAAAGGGGATAAAACATACTCACACAGAAACAACCCGTCCACAAGAGTTTTGTTACTGTGTAGTACACACTGCACACACACACACTAGTAAAAAGAAATGATCATAGATATGAAAGAATACAAGAACAGGATTGAGACAAATAGCCCAATTAGAGATGAAATGCAGTTAGGCATTTTTCGACTATATAAAAGAAAAACACACGTCAGCAAACAAAATAATACCAACCATATTCAAACAAAGGAAGGGTACGTCGGCGGCGGGGTGGGAGTAGTACAAAGATTCTAATGATGATAAAAAAGGTCACATTAGAGACAAAAGATAAACCGAACTAAAAGAAATTCTACAAGGGGATGATAATGTTTGTGTGACTGCTGCCAAAGATGTGTGTGTGTGTGGATATTAAGTTCTGCTTTTATTTTCTACATAATTCTTATGCAGCTGGAATCATTTTTAACCCTAGGAGACACAAAAAGGGACATATTATAATAGAAATATATATAACAACACACAGTTTGTTTTAGGAGAGAGAGAGAGAGAGAACAAAAATGCAATTTACTATTTACGAAAAAGGTGGTAGGTAAACAAAAAGTACATGGGATATACACAATCTATGTTGTATATAAATCATTGTGTGTGTGTGTGCGTGTGTGTATGAATAAACAATAATCGTACACATACAAACACACACAAATATGAATATACACATAGGAAGTACATGGAAAGGAAGAATGAGGACTGGAGAGAGCGGAGGGTGAGGATTGGAAAGGAAACAGAGTACGATACTTTCATCATTAATTTACAATTGCATCATCAGACTGCATAGCAGTTATACTATTTCCGTTCAACAGGTAATTACTATTATTATTAGTGTTACTCATTTGAGATGTCTCCAACTTATTCTCACCAGGATAGTAATCTAAAAGGTAGAGACTACTTGTACCAGCTAACGCTAGAGTATTTTCACGTGGATGCCAGGATAAATGCAACAGTTTACGCGTTAAATCCATACATTCCACATTGATTTTCCCTTCAGACCATGCTGATGTTGATGTGGCTCCACCTGATCCATCACAAACTACTTGACATGGTTTCAATTTACCGCATACACTATTTTCCATTGCTTCACGAGATGCTTCCATGAGTAAATCTTTTGAAGTGCCACGTTCAAATACACGAAAATAATTGTTATATGAACCGGTTACCACGTATCTGAAAGAAGCGGAGGTTGAGAGAAAACATTTCCGGATTAAACTGAGAACATTTAAACTCTGAATAATAATTGGTAAATAGCATAACGATAATAGTGAGACGAAGAAAAGGCTGATTAATTTAATCAGGAATGATCCGAAAATCAAGCTCAAGGACAAACACTAGGTGTTCACTTCCGTATATTTTATTAAAAAGCACTGAAAACTGCGAAAATAAGATTGTACCCTTCTAACAAGATAGTCGTCAAAACTATCCGTTAAAGATCAGCTGTCAACGAAAGACATGTAATCATGCGGGTTAAATTCAAGGACCGGTTATTTTCAAAATGACAACCAATAGATTAAAATTCAAGTGCTCATTTGATTGGTTACAGGATCCCATCGTGAGCTGTCGTCGGTTACAGAAGCATTGGAAGTACTGGACAGCTGTTTCGTCAGCTTAGTTGGAATCTCTGCTTCAGCAGTACGAACCCACGACCTTCTAGTTGCAAGGCTAGTTCGTGGACCAATAAGCCACTGGAACCCGATCCAACGACCGACCTATGAATTCCAACTTCTCCCAACTGACGATTTAGCGCGACTGGCATTAACCAATGTCACATCCTTGGTGAGTATTTGTCCTCACCTCCGACCTGCTATACCCCACTGGCCACGACTTCTCACTAGAACCCAGGTAACTACAGGTCGGATGTTAGAACAAATACTCGCCGATCACATCGGCTAGTGGTTGCGCAATATTGTGAGTCGGCTTAAGTTGCGGTTCATGGACCGACCATTGGATCGAGTTCCAGTGGCTTAGTGGTTCACGAGCTAATCTAGTAACGCGAAGGTCCTGGTTCAACCCCCAAACCAGGACGAAACAGTTGTCCAGTACTCCCAGGTTTTCCAGTGGTTCTCTAACTAATGTCAGGTCATGATGAAAATCCTGTAACCAATCAAATCCCTACAAACCAACACTTGAATATACTGTTCGCTGTTTTACTGTTAAATTTTTGACAACCTTGTAAACTGGATCTGAATTACTGTAATACTCAGTGTTTACATTTAGAATGACACTACTCCCTTTTCAAGATGTATCTATCACAGATGCAGTAAGCACGATCTGATAACTTTGTAATTTTCAGGATTACACATTCGAGAGTGAGTTCACACTGAGATGTTCTCTAAAATAAACTGTCAGTCGTCTCAGTGTTATGATAGACATTATCATCATCATCAGTGCAAATTTATGACGAGTTTAAATCATGATACAAGTCAGTCCACAACAAAACATTGGAAATTTAGCCTACATTGTGCGTCGGTGGCACAGTGGTTAGGACTCTCGCCGACCATGCACATGGTCCGGGGTTCGATCCCCTGCCGGCGCACACCCGATATCTATGGTCAGCCTGAATTTGGTCTACCGGTATCCATGCTGAAAATTCCACACTTGTACTGAAAATACGGTGTGGAATCAAGCTGTAAATCAAAAAAATAAATAAATAAATAAATGGGCATTCGGTAAACTGTCATATTAAAATATGACTGAAGACTTTAAAAGAATTTCAAATTTGATCACGGAATGATATAACTTGAAGGCAGCTGTTTTGTCCCAGTCTCGGACTCGTCGACATTGCACACCACCCAGTGGGGGACCCAATTCAGTAGTGGACGGTGAATTATAACTTCTACCAATTCACTAAGGCATACACTACGGTATATTAAGATTATATTTCTTCGGATAGACAAATACAAACGGTCTCACTAACGCGTCAGACATGCTCCAGAGGACCGCACAGTGGGTCTTAGACAAAACAAAAATCTCAGAATTATAACTTTGAAAGGGAAATATATACATATATAAGCCAGAAGATACATTTACTAGAACATACACGTCTCTATGAACACTATTCACCATAATAAGTGGGCGAATTTTAATGACTTGACATTTGATACTACAAAAAAGGTAGGTAGTTAATGAAAAACTACCCTGCAGCTGCAATGAAAACTAACGCAAGTGTTACTTCATTTCATCAAAGTGTAGAAGAAGAAGAATAGGATGAAAAAGGAACACACAACGCTGTTACTACTAGTGAATAGTACTCATTTTATGCCAAATCTACAGTAATAAATTTCGTGGAAGAGGATGTAATTTTGGCAAAGTTCAAGAATAGTGTCCCAGGAGTGCGAACGCTCCAATGACGTTGAACACATGCTATTCGTTCGCTAAAAGCACCTGTCATTATCATAGCTGAAATAATGTCAACGCTATTTAACAACTAAGGAGCAAATTTCACTCAGATCACGTTTTTAAGTACTACTTGGACGATGTGTTAATAGCTTGCTAGGGCTAGGGTTAAGGTAAGTAAGTATTGGGGTTAGGGTTACGGTTAGGATAAGGGTTGTAACTAGGGTTCGGGTTAGTATTAAGCTTAGGGTTAGGATCAGGATTAAGGTTAGGGTTACGATAAGCGATAGATTTAGAGTTGATGACATTTATTTCAATTTGTTTTACTACCCACATTTTCCTGGTAAGTAGTTGTCGATTCTCTTACTGGAAACCACATTAATTCAACCAAGGGCTTTTGGGCGAGACTGCACATGAGGATAAGAGAGATAAACGATTCACAAAAACAGCTCACCTTCAGTCACCTCGATGAATACATGTACAGAAACTAGTCTAACTGAGCAACTGATACTCATCATTATAACTGGGACATATTTTCAAGTCATTTCAGAGAAAGATACCCTGTTTAATGTGTTTTCATGCATTTTCTTATAAATATACGTCATTTTTTGTGCAACAGTTCTCCATTTTTATGATTGGTCAGCTAAGGGTCACTCGTACGTCCGCATCCCTTGGGACACCATTGTTGAACTTTGCCTTTTTTATTCCGTTTACGTTCCCAGTGGGACATAGGGTGCCTTCAAGCTAGTGGCTTGAAGTTTCGATAGCAGTGGTGTTTATTTTTACGGGATGAGGTTGCTAGTCTCATACCCAACCTTCCTTCTTTACCAGTCTTATTACTCGGTTTATCGAGGTAAAGGAGTGCGTCAGCCGGGGATCGAACCCCGGACAACTTGTGTGGTCGGTGAGGATTGCACTACTGTCCCACCGATACATGGTGGAGAGTATAAGAGCATACATATCCAATAATTTCAGTGACAGTATTAATACAACAGAAACTTTCGTACAATTCTGTTCACAAGAAAATATCAACAAACGTCTATATATATACATATGCATAGTAGAGCGACCTTCAAAAATAGTTAAATAGAAAAAACTTACTCATCATTCGGTGACCATTGACATTCAAACTTATCAAATATACAATCATTTTCATATAGTGCACAAAGTTTTGTACGGAAATAATCGTGAACTAGATACGTTTCAACCGGTTGACGCGGCATATTCAAATCCCAAACTAAATGTTTATTTTGCAAAAAGAAAAACAACGTTTATAAGAGAATAGGAATGAATTACTATAATTTTCTTATGAGATAAAATTTATTTTGATAAAATCACACACTGTCATACAGTAAGTAATATTTACTGATGACGTTTTGAGCACAATTTATTACTGCTGATAATTATATCAAGGTATTTGCACAACTTTCTTGCTTCGCTTATATACATGAGTAAAATTGATTAGTTGGAGGATTTCATCGTGAGATGACATCAGTTAGAGAACCACTTGAAAACCAGCTGGAAGTACTGCTAGGCAGCTGTTTCGTCTGTTTAGTTTGGGACTCTTCAGCAGTACAGTAGAACCCAGGTAACTACAGGTCAGGTGTGAGGACAAATATTCACCAAGGATGACATTGGCTAGTGCTAGTCGCGCTAAATCGTGAATTGGCAGAAGTTGGAATTCATGGGCCAGCCACTGGACCTTGTCCCAGTGTCCGAGTTGTCTACGAGGTCGTCCTGTAACCAGAAGGCCGTGGGTTGAAACACCGGTGGGTGCGTAATGATGAAGAGTCCCAAACTAGGGCGAAACAGCTCTCCAGTACTTCCAGGTGGTTTTCCAATGGTTCTTTAAACGATGTCAGCTAATGATGAAATCCTCCAACCAATCAAATCAAATCAAATCCCTACAAACGAATACTTTAAAACTGATTAGATATATGGAATAATACTATACCACACAGTGCTCAAGTTTTATCCTCATAAGAATAAATTATACACACACACACACACACACACAGAAATCAAAATGCTCTCACAAACACATCAGCCTCACTTCAAAAATAAAATATAATCAACAAATAGTATTAATCCCCAAAGATTTCAAAATGATGACCCCCCTAGAGAACAGTTTAGATAGTCAGCCAACATAAAGTTATATGAATTGACAATTTTCATATATCGGATATCGGTAGCCCAAATGTTGCAGGCCGACCATAAACATCGGGTGTGCGTCGGCAGGGAATCGAACTCCGAACCATGTGAATGGTCAACGAGAGTCCTAACCACTGTGCCACCGACGCATATTTGTAGTAATATTGGTTTCACAATAACTCAAGTAACATCAAGTAACAAGGAATATTTATGAATGTTGAGATGATAAAATCTTACTTCTGTGGGAGAAGTTGAATCCCAGAGACACCTACGCTAACAGCCATGATAATCATCACTTTTAACGTGAATGAATTACGATTGGACAATTTATTAAGAAACCACTTCTAATACTGGATCTCTAAACTTTACTTTAGAAAGTAATTTATCATTGCATATCCCTAGTGTATGTTTCATTCGAATGGTCGAGAGTTTCACAAAACTGATAGTTGAAATCAAATGATAGTCAAAGTAAAATTTCATTCATGCAAAGTCAGTGCTACTTGTTCACCTCAGAAGACCAATGAGAAAACAGCTGGAAATATGATATTTGCTGACGACCCGCCAACGCTTATGTAAAAGCATGGATCTATGCCTTTTAGTTAGATGTTGCATTTATCTGCGGATACGATAGTCATACCATCTCTCTCCCTCTCAGATGGTTGAATTTGACTATTTGAGTCGTTGGGTCAGCGGTAGAAATGCTTGCCAAATACGCTACACATGGCCTAGGGTTCGATCCCCCGACCAGGCGAATACATTTACCTCTCTTAACCGGTTGTGGCTGGCTGGATTCAACATAGAACTTGGCACCGAAGTGCAACAGTTCGAGTTGCCACGTTCCAAATACCACACAAAGGTAGACAAGAAAATGAGTGAAGAGAATCAATTGAGTCTTGACAAGTATAAGAGTGAAACAGAATGAGTAATGGTAGAAAGGAATATGAAAGACTACAGTGACTGAATACATCTGCACCAGTGACAATGATTTTGAGCCATGTCACCTATTGTCTCCAGTCATTGATTCTTAGAGTCCCGAGGGCGGGCCCCAACCCGGAAGTCTGCATCTCCCTACATGACTCAGTTTAACTGTCAGGGATTTCATGGATTGATGCCATGTTTTTGTTCGGCCACCACTTACTCTTTTCCAACCTGCACCTATATCAGCTAGTAATGCCCGTCGGCGGAGGCGATGGCTAGGCATGCGCAGCACGTAACCTAACCATCTCAATCTATGTAACTTTATAGCCTCTTCGATTGATTTTCCCTCTTTGTCCAACACTCTACGCCTAACGTCAACATTACTTACCTTATTATGCCACCTAACGTGAGAAAGAGATCATAGACATCTATGATCAAAAATAACCGGTTGTAAGTCAGACAAAGAAGGAAGATTGAGTGGATGGGTGAGGTTAGCAACCCCACCCACTCCCGTGTTAAGATAAAACCACTGCTACTGAAATTTCAAAGCTCAAATTTGAACCCTGTATGTTCCACTGGCAACCCAAAGGAACAGAATAATAATAATAACAATTATTATTATAATTATAATAATAGACGACAATTTGATTATGACACGATATCATAAAACCATCGATCGTTTTGATGCATGAAAAGCTCGTTATCAACAAATACTGTGAATGACCATCAGGCATAAATAACAACGGTGAAGCAGATAATCTTATTCACTTGAAATTAATAGGTCAACTGTGGCTTATTTCTAATAATAATAACCATGAAAAACCTGACTATAAATATTGATCAAAAAATTAATCTCATATATATATATATATATATATATATATATATATATATATATATATATATATATATATATATACGTATAATCATTACCTTTCAAGGTTAAATAATCACGGCTTAATATATATCTGCCGGAATGACTAAAATTCAAATCGGATATATTGTTGATAATTTCGGAGAAGAAACACCGACTCATTGGATCATCTGCTTCCTCAAATGCTACAAAAACAAGAATAGACATAAAAAAGCATTAAATTTAATCAATAAGAATAGAGAATGTGCACACAGATTCTTTGTTTATTGATACTTATTAAAAGGCATATTGTTTGTAAAGACTGTAGTAAGAAAAGGGCTGCCTATTACTATCACTAATGGCATTCCTAATTCTGGTGGATTGGGTTATGCTGAAGACTGTGGGGAACGAGAATATAGGAGTACGCTGGCCTGATAAGAAGACTCTAGGAGATCTGGATTTCGCGGATGATTTGTGTAATGTCATACAAAACTGAAGACTTACTTTGATCATAGGTGCCTGCATTCTATCTCCCGTGTGAAGTGGTATAATGAAGTGAGCAATATTGAGGTTAGGCGTCGAGTGCTAGGTAGGTTTGGAGGGGAAACCAATCGACGAGATTGTGAAGTTACATCGATTGAGATGGTTAGGACATGTGTTACGCATGTCTAGCCTAGCCATAGCCTTCCTCGACGGGCAATGTTAGCTGACATAGGATCGATCAGGTTACAAAAGAGCTAGTGGTGGACAAACGAAAACATAGCTCCATCAGTCAATGAAATCCACAAGAGATGTTTTAAGCCAGTCAAGTTGGAAGGTATGGACTTCCTGGTTAGAGTCCTCGGGACTGTAAAAAGCGATGGAAGCAGACGTATGGACAAAGGGATTGTTGGATGTCCTGGATGTCTAGCCCCATTCGAAAAGGCGTATGAACCGAACTCCGGTCACCGGCTGCCAATTGATAGTGGACTCCCTACTCCACTCCTACTGCCTTGTAGGTCACACTTGGTTGTGTAAAGGCTAGAGCTGCATTCTCAAACAAAAGGCTGAGTGATTCTGGGGACATCACTCGTACCAAATTCCCATGAAACTTCATGAACTCATGTTCATGAAGCCGGCTAATCCTCCCGTAGGAGATAGCCGAAGTAAAGTAAAGTAGTAAGTAATGAAAGCTGAAGACACTTCGTGAAATGGCTCAAAATCGTTCTCAATGGTTGGCGCAGATGCATCCACTCCTTGTGACTTATAATACCCAATAAAACTATATGGTTCTTCGATATTACTGTTCTTTTTACCTCATATTTCTATTTACTGTCACTATTTTGCATTTCTTTTTACTTTCTCCTCTCGCTTTGTGTGCTACAAGGAGGGAGTGTGGCGACTTGAACTGCTGCACATCAGTGCAAAGTTGAAACCAGTCAGTCAGTCAGTCACTGGAAAGAAACCAAAAAATGGCAGAAGAAGCAGCGAAGACAGAACTTCAAGTGAACACTGAGAAGATGGAGGTGATGAAGATAACCAACCAATCAACAGACAGAAACATGCACCAATCATTATCGTTGGGAGAGATTAGAAAGAGGTTGCTTCCTTCAATTATCTAGGAAGCATCGTATCAACTACGACCAGAATGGATAAGGATGTCAAAGCCAATCAGGATCGCAAAAGCAACGTAGACCTTCATCACTGTGAAATCAGTTTGGAAATCCTTCGCACGCTGTCAGCATAAACAAAAAAAATTTAGACTTTTACCGCCAATGTCAAATCAGTCAGTCAGTTATTTCTTCTATATGTGTCAGAATTTTGGTGAAGGTGTCACGAAAATCTCTTCCAACAGACTATCACAGACCTCTATCAACAGCTGTCTACACTGGCTCCATATCAGGTGGCTAACCAGGAAGGATTATCGACAATGAACTCTGGGAACAGACGAATCGATAATCTATTGCTCAACGAATATCCTGAGGAACATAAACGTGGATTGGATACACTCAGAAGGCCACTGGGTGACATCGCGCGTCAGGTCATCGTTCGATTGGAATCCGAATGAGAAACGATGAGTTGTGAATTGATTTGAGGGTGACATGGGAGAGGTCGTGTGAGGATGAGATGACAGTCTATGGACAATCGTAGGGCTAGATAAAGGCGTTTGAAGAGCACAGGCTGAAATAAATGTTTTTCTGAAGCTCCACGTTCAACTCGGAACCGAAGGGAATAATAATAATAAAAGATTTATATTCTTTTTGATGTTAGTCGTACAAGACAGTATTACAGATAGAACGGTTCCAAAAACATATCTGCCATGCTGCAATAAATGAACTAAAAGTCTTAGACTAAATTTGATGTCAGATGATCGAAAGTAGTCGATAAATAAGTCCAGGACCCACATTTAGCGCTTATGGGCAATCATTAGCAAGCTGTATCAGTAACCTCGGAGAAAATGATGTCCAAAATGAAATGAAAGTAAACCATAATAACCACCAGTCAACACAATGCAAACTTGTCTGATAAAATTCGATGAGAACTAGAAACTAGGCAATATTACACTAATTTACCTCCCGGTGACCACAAGATAACTGCTGGATAAATAAGCACTTATCTTCAACCCAAACTAAACATTCAAACACTAGTATACTAAAAGGAATTAAAAGTCGCTGAACTACTACTGTTCAGTCAGGTGGCCTGCTTAAAACCTGGGCTACCGAGAACTTCAATCACTATGCAGCATATACTTTCTTCTGTCCACTTTGTTTTAATCGATTAAAATAAGGCTTCCGATGGTATTATTTACTCTTGCGATTATTTAAAGTGTTTGTAACCCGCTGCTGATTCGTTAGTTTTTACTAAACTTGAGAAAAAGCAAGGTCGTGAGTGCCAGCGGCGGGGAGGGGCGGGGTTTGCAACGTATCCCAATACATGAGATAACTGTTCCTGAACTTTTTACAATCGGCTTTCAATCAAATGTCGTGTATTTCCTGAAGGAGACAGGGAAGAAATATCATAATGGATTGGTTCACGCTTCACATCAGACAACAGTGGGTCACAGGATCTATTGTCAATCAATATTTTAGAACAAGACATATAAGCGAACGATGTTGTTGTTTTCAATTAGATCTTCTTCAGGCTTTACTCTAATTTACATAGATTTATATATAAAATTTCAACCAATGACGGTGAGATTGTGGATCAAATAATAATAATAATAATAATAATAATAATAATAATGGGTTATCCTAGTAGATTTCTAAGGAGACACATGAACACCATGTACAATAATGAGAAACTGCCAACAGTTAAAAAGAAACAACTGTTCCTAAAATTGCAATTTAATGAGGACGTGGCTAGTTACGTCTTATATCTAAGATTATCGAAGGCAGTAAAACGGACTTATACTGCCACCACCCTTTGTTTGTCATTTTCCAGCTGCCAAACAATTATGATTGCTCAAGCGAAAGACAAGCTACCTAGCTAGCTGTGACACTTCTATGTGTATCTACAAATTTATCTGCTCCTGTGGAGAAAGCTATACAGGGCGAACAACCAGACAGCTTAACAAACGTATTAATGAGCATCTTCCTTCATGGTTCGCAAAAGGCCAAAAACATCTATCATTTGTTTGATCTTGGTCACCAAGTGGACAGAAGTAGTGCCTTCAAAGTTATCTATCGCATTCCATCGCTACTTTTGAACGGGATTCGAACCCGCCTTTTACACATAGCCGAAACTATGGGAATTCATGAGAACAGTCCTAGTTTTTACATACAAAAGAAGTTGGTTCTGCCTTTGTTTCTCCCTTAGCCTAGGGGAAAAGTTTAATTAAAATCCTACCACCCTTTTTTATTTTCCATTTCTTTCGTACTTTTATGATATTTATTTAAACTCTGATTATCTGTCCACTTCACCTTTAGTATTAAGTAACTTTTAAGATTTGACCTAATTTATTTATTGAATTGTCTACATTTACACATATAACTACCGCTGTTATTCTTTTCGCCATCTGCTTAAAACTTATGGTCATTATTATTTTGTTATCATTACAACCATGGTTATTACTGACGTTCAAAACATAAACTACATTATTATTATTAATAATATTATCATTTGATCCACAAACTCACTGTCATTGGTTAAAATTTTTTATATATAAATCTATGTAAATTAGAGTAAAGCCTGAAGAAGATCTAATTGAAAACAACAATATTGTTCGCTTATATGTCGTCTTGTTCTAATATTAATAATGGGAATATTTAAAAATTAGTATTTTATCTGAAGATCCTGTACGAAAAGAAAGTAACATGCAATAAACTCCGCTGAAAACTTCGTACATTGGCTAGCTGGCTGGATTCAACATAGAACTTGGCACCGAAGTGCAACAGTTCGAGTTGCCACGTTCCAAATACCACACAAAGGTAGACAAGAAAATGAGTGAAGAGAATCAATTGAGTCTTGACAAGTATAAGAGTGAAACAGAATGAGTAATGGTAGAAAGGAATATGAAAGACTACAGTGACTGAATACATCTGCGTAAGCCATTGACAACGATTTTGAGCCATGTCACCTATTGTCTCCAGCCATTGATTCTTAGAGTCCCGAGGGCGGGCCCCAACCCGGAAGTCTGCATCTCCCTACATGACTCAGTTTAACTGTCAGGGATTTCATGGATTGATGCCATGTTTTTGTTCGGCCACCACTTACTCTTTTCCAACCTGCACCTATATCAGCTAGTAATGCCCGTCGGCGGAGGCGATGGTTAGGCATGCGCAGCACGTAACCTAGCCATCTCAATCTATGTAACTTTATTGCCTCTTCGATTGATTTTCCCTCTTTGTCCAACACTCTACGCCTAAGGTCAACATTACTTACCTTATTATACCACCTAACGTGAGAAAAAGATCGTAGACATCTACGATAAAACACAGTCAACCTTTTCATGTCTTCAACTCGTATTGGCCATGTTTCTGAGCCATGGAGAAGGACGGAGCGAACTGCTGAGCAGTATACACGTCCCTTGGTTGATAGCCGGATGTCACACCTACGCCAGAGATGGCGTACATTACATAAGTACTGTTCATAATTAAACAATTATTATTATTAGTGTCAAAAATATACACTCTGACCAGCTCTCATAATCTCTCCTAATCGAACTTAGTGATATAGAATCAAAATTAAGAGATAAGCAACCCCTCCGTCAGTCTTATTTCTTTTAATTTCAAAGTTAGAAAGCGCCCTGTGTCAATCTCTGGTGAGTTAATACACTGCTTGTAAAGACAATCACAAGACTGTATACAATTCAAGGTTAACATTAAGCCATAAACACACACATAAGAAGTTCCAAAGTAGTCATAAAGAGTTTATTATGCCCATCTTTGTCCCTGGTATTTTTCTTTTTTGGAAACACGTAAAACAGATTATACAATGATTAATGAAGTATAAATCAGTGTGTGAGTAATGCTTTTTTCTCTCTTCAAAACGCCATGTAACTAATGACGACAGTAAACTATCTTTACAACGAATCACAAGTGTACAGGATACACCGTCTTCTACTTGCCCAGTGACGTATGAACTCAAATCAAACAATAAAAAGTAACTGTTTAATTGAATTTTTAGATTTTCCCGTCGATTGATTGGACCGAAGTGCTCGACGGGAAAATTTAAAAATTTAATTAAATTATTAATATGACCCGTTGCACAAGAGGTGACTGGCTGTCGTGGCCCAAGTGGTCTAGTGGATAACGCCTTGGCGTTTGAAACTATGGTCACTGGGTTCCAGCCTCGGTGGGAACATTATCACTCAGTGACTGAAGAATGCAGGTGCATCCAGATGACGAGCCCCAAATAGGACGAAATGCGCGTTATCCTGGATCCCACTGCTAGTCGCCATCCACTACCAATTAACCTCTAATAAAAAGTAACGTTGAAAAGAAAATAATCCTGAAAAAAACAGAGGGGGAGAAAACCAATCACAAGTATACAAACACAACTTACATAACGCGTGTTCATCACACAAAGCACGTTGACGCATATCACAGAGGCGGATTGTACCCTTACTACTGCTATAAATGAATAAGGAACATGCGGATGGATGAAATTGGGCAGCTGTTATCACTTCTGATAGATCTTCCATATTCACCGGTTTCAAATCAACAATATCTTTAATGCGATAAAGTTTACTCGAGTTAAGGTAATTGTTTTATCAATTGAATTGCGTTTTATTAACACGTAAAAAGTGTTGTATTGATGAAACTAAAGTGTGTGCAACAATAGCATCCCAAGGGATGCGAACGCACCAATGACCTTGAGCCGACCAATCATAAAATTGGAGAATTTTTGCACAAAAAGTTATGTTTATTTACATGAAAATGCATGAAAACACATTAAAAACAGGGTATCTTTCTCTCACATGACTTTAAAATACGCCCCAGTTATAATGAGGAGTATCAGTTGCTCAGTTAGACTTGTTTCTATACATGTATTCACAGAGGTGACTGAAGATGAGCTGTTTTTGTGAATCCTTTATCTCTCCTATCCTGTTTCGCAGTTTTCCCTAAAAGCCCTCAGTTGAATTATTATAGTTTCCAGTAAGAGAATCAACGACCACTTATTGGCAAAATGTGGATGATAAAACAAATCAAAATAAATAATACCAAATCTGAATCTATCCCTGACCGTAACCCTAACCCCAATCCTAATTATAACCCTGATCCTAACCCTAAAGAACTATTAATACATTATTCAAACAGTACTTAAAAGAACGTGATCTGGGTGAAATTTGCACCTGAGTTCATGTAACAGCGTTCATTTTTGTGCTAGAATAATAGTAGGTGTCTTTAACCAACGACTAGCATGCGCTGAAGGTCAATGGAACATTCGCACTTTCTGGGACGCTATTATTGAACTTCACCGACAAAATATCAACAAACAAAAAAGCGTATTACAAAATATCTTGTTAAACCCTATGCTGTATGCACGCATATACCACGCCACCTCACATTTATTCCTCGATGGTCATAATTAGGCTAGAAAAAAGATCGGGGTGACCAGACAGCAGTCGATAAAGTTTTTGAATATCGGTCACACATAGATCAGACGATAGAGAGGTATCCCTAGTATACATTTATAACTTAATTAGTTGGTTTATTTTATCATTTTCACTTTTCAAGTTCGGTTGTTATGAGTATCCGCATATTCTACTCATGGTATTGCGTTGTGCAGAGAAGCAAGTACATATAAAACAACAGAAACACCAAAGATAACTAAGGATCGATAAAAAGCGGTTACTTTGCACACAGTAGTAACATCGAATAAAAATGAAAAAACAACCACACAGACGGATAGTTTCAACTAACTCATTCAGCTCTTGGAGTCTGTATAGACCGTAACGCATATCAGAATAATAGTTGCTTATCTGAAAGCCACAGAAGTCGACTCGCCTTTCAATACATGCTTTTTTTTATTCCCGTACGTTCCGAGTGGAACATAGGGCGCCTTCAAGCTAGAGGTTCGAAGCTTCGGTAGCAGTGGTGTTTATTTTTACGGGGTGGGGTCAATAGCCTCAAGCTCAGTCTTCCCTCTTCACCAGCCTTGTTACCAGCTTAGCCAATCACCATCAACGGGAGGGATTTGAAAGAGGTTACTTCATTCACTTATCTAGGGAGCATGGTCTCAACTACAGGAGGAACGGACGACGATGTCAAATCGACAATCGGGAAGGCGAGAAACACATTCATCAACCTGGAACCAATCTGGAAATCTTCGTCACTCAGCATCAACAACAAAATTCGGATTTTCAATACAAACGTCAAGTCAGTCAGTTCTTCTATACGGATGGATCAGAAACTTGGCGGGTCACAAAGAATATTTCCAACAGCCTGTTGCAGACCTTTATCAACAACTGTCTTCGCTCTATACTGAAGATCAGTGGCCGGAAAGAATCACCAACGAGAAACTATGGGAACAAACAAAGCAAGAACCAATCGCCCAACAAATATGCAGGAGAAAGTGGAGATGGATTGGACACTCGCTGAGAAGGCCGTTGGGTGACATCGCGCGTCAGGCCATCGCTCGAGTGGAACCCGAAAGGGAAGCGGCGAGTGGGACGTCAGTGCAAGGGTGACATGGAGGAGATCGTGTGAAGAGGAGTTGAAACAGTATGGAATAACATGGATACAGGTGAAAAGTACGGCAGAAGACAGAAGCAAGTGGAGACGTGTAGTTGAAGCCCTATGTTCCACTAGGAACCCAAGGGAACAATAATAATAATAATTTTAAAGCAACAGAAGTCGGTTCGCCTTTTACTACATACACTACTCTATGATATCTACAATATACTAACGCTTAAATTGTACACGCATCAACATAAATAAAATTCTTCACACAATCAGAAAAGGATACTGAATGATTGATCAGTAATTTCTAAATTCCATAGATTGATCCGTAAATCATCTGCTGATAAAAATGTTTCTTGATCAGAATTCACTGATAAGGAGTTGATCAGATAGGCGTGTGCATTAGCGAATATACGTTTAGGATGAGCATCCATAACAGGTTCAATATCTTCATAGTATGGTACACGCAGGTCATCTTTACGATAGATTCGATTTGGTATTGGCTTTTTTGCAGATGGACTGTCTTCACCGTTTTCACTATCAATGGTATTATTGTTGCTGTTATTATTATTACTGTGTATTGAATAATCTGAGGATACATTACAACCAGCCGAAGGAGCAACACGTCGACAGCGTTCAGTAATACGCCAGAGTTTTATAGTTTTGTCTGTAGAAATAAAGAAGTAGATGTAGCAATTAAATGTGACTTATACGATTAAAAAAACACTTAGTTTACATTTTTGTTTTACAGCTAACTCGGTAGTAAAATCCATTAGACAGCTAGTTTTGGCTGGTGGCATGCCTCTCTACTACGTGATCGATGCGATTTGACCATGTTTAGTGAATAAATGTAGTTTACTAAGTTCAAATGGCCAGAAAGAATTAGCAACAAGAAACTCTGCAGTGGGACAAACCAACCAAGAGCCTAGTGCTCAACAAATATGTAGGAGAAAATGGAGATGGATTGGGCAAACAACGATATCGTGCGCCAGGCCCTCCAGTGAAATCCCAATGGGAAGCGACGAGTGGGTCACCAGTGCGACGGTGACATGGAGGAGATCGTGCGAGGAACAGATGAGAGACTATGGGTAATCATGGGCCTAGTTAAAGAAGAAAGCACCGAATAGAACAAAGTGGAGATGTGTTGTTGGAAGCCTCATGTTCCACTCGGAACCCAAGGATATAATAATAATAATAAGTGAAAATATAAAAATAATACCGACAAAGTGTTAAACATAAAACGACAGCCTATTAAATTCTACTATTTGGGAAGTCAGAGGTAAGGAAACACCACGAAAAATGTTCACATAAAAGTTGAGATCCCTAGTTAATGTCATTAGCATACCTCTCTCTATATGTCTGAATGATTTGGAGAGAGTCTTGATTAGCTTAGCTTACTTTACTTTACTTTACTTCGGCTATCTCCTACGGGAGGATGAGCCGGCTTCATGAACATCTCGAAACATCGCTGCCCAGGCGCGGCGATCTGCGTTTGTGAGAGAGTTCATGAAGTTTCATGGGAATTTGGTACGAGTGATGTCCCCAGAATCGCTCGGCCTTTTGTTTGAGAGTGCAGCTCTAGCCTTTACACAACCAAGTGTGACCTACAAGGCAGTAGGAGTGGAGTAGGGAGTCCATTGGCAGCCGGTGACCGGAGTTCGGTTTGTACGCCTTTTGAATGGGGCCAGACATCCAGGACATCCAACAAGCCCTTTGTCCATACGTCTGCCGGTGAGCTCTAGTGAGCTTCATACGCCAGTCGATGGGGGTTTGGAATCAGGGTTTAGCCATCTCCCCTAGACTGTCATCCAATGGACAGTCAACCCAGTGAAGAGCGCCGGGCATCCGCTTAGCATACTACCTCTGCACTCTCTCTCTCTTTCTCTCACACACACAGTCAGACATCATCAAAACACTCATTTATTGCTGGAGGTAGTTAAGTGTTTTACAGTGAGGAATACACCGTCAATAGGTATGTATGCGTTCCACGTTCCACAGCTTAATGAACAATGATGAAGCTTTGATTAGTGTCAATTATAATGCGATTTAGAGGAATATAACATCATAGTTCGTGCAAGTATACGAGTACTACAAATAACACAATCGTATTCTGCATGCATACAGTCAAGTTACTCCAACTGAACACCAACATCCTGTAGGATTACGACTTCATTTGAACAGTTTACCTAACACAGCAAGATGAGTGACTTCAGACAGAACTCGTGATGACTTATTTTACTTCCGTCCACTTTTTAAGGAGACTTGTTTATTTTCAAGAGCTGATTTGTAAGGCTTATATTCGTTTTTTCTAATCCTTACAAGCCAACTCTTGAAAATTGATCTGATGCTCGCCAGCGATGTGCTACAAGACAGAGTTTTCTGGAGTTCTGGTGAGAAGTCATGACTAGTGAGGTCCATCCCAGTCGGCAGTGAAGATGGATTTCCTGCCGACGACATCGCGCTACAAAAGCACGAATTGGTAGAAGTTAAAATTCATGGGATGGCTAGTGAATCGTGCCCCAGTGTTGGCTGAATGGTATACGAGTTTGAATGTAACCGGAAGGTCCTGGGTTCTAACCATAGCAGTAGGTGCGCACTGCCGATGAGTCCCAAACGAGGACGAAACAGCCCTCCAGTACTTCCAGATGGTTTTTAACAGTTCTCTAACTGATATCAATTCGGGGTCCAACTCGAAAAACGTGTCTATTTGTTCAGAGGAGTCATTACTAACAATTCCATCATAATGACACTTTTCTAGAAAAGTAGTATTCACTGGTTTTCCGTTTAAAAAACCCAACTCAGTCAGTCGGCACTGGTTTTTCATACACCAAACTATGGGATACACTTATGATTTGAGGGTTAGTGATGTGTACAGTTATCCAGCATGAAGTAGGTGGAGAGAGAGATTCGAACTCAAAAGCCACTCAGATGAAATTCAAGTGCTAACACCAACAACTCGATGACTGATGCTGCACATACATTTATCATAAACACCAAACGCAGAATGAACATAGTCAAGCTTTTTGCAACAAATAAATAAAACTGCCTAACTTTTCAATTGAAAATCCATGGTTACATTAAAAACCAAGAAAAAAAATAATGCAATAATAAGGACTGACCATTTGTGGAGAGTAGAAATCGAGCATGATTAGTTCGTGGTAGCCATCGAATTTTATTGATTTTCTCCTCAATTTCTAATGATTTGAGATAGTCGAATTCTGGTTCATGACTGACAAATGTACAGTACACATTATGACTAATACATTTCTGTAGTTTTCCCTTTAGATAAAAATTTTTTAAAAAGGACAGTAAATATCTACGATATGCGTTAATATTAATGATTTATAATAATAAATAATATATAAGATCTGGGTGAAACGAATTCTGACTGACTGACTAACTGGTTTCAACATAGAACTTTGCACAGATGTCCAGCAGTTCGAGTCGCTACACTCCCTCCTTGTAGCATACAAAGCGAGAGGAGAAAGTAAAAAAGAAATGCAAAATAGTGACAGTAGATAGAAATATGAGGCAAAAAGAATAGTAATATCGAAGAACAATATAGTTTTATTGGGTATTATAAGTCACAAGGAGTGGATGCATCAGCGCCAACCATTGAGAACGATTTTGAGCCATATCACGAAGTGTCTCCAGCCCTCATTGGTTTTTACAGTCCCGAGCACCCCAACCAGGAAGTTTATACCTTCCTACGTGGCTTAAACTAATTGTCGTGGATTTCATTCACTGATAAAGCCATATTTTCGTTTAACCACCGCTAGCTCTTTTCCAGCCTGATCCTATGTCAGCTAACATTGCCCTTGGAGAAAGGAAATGACTAGGCATATGCAACACATGTCCTAACCATATCAATCGGTGCAACTTCACAACCTTGTCGATTGATTTCCCCTCCTTACCTAGCACTCGACGCCTAACCTCAATATTGCTCACCCTATTATACCACCTAATACACACGCGAGATAGAACGCAAGCACCTATGCTCAAAGACAGCTAGCTTTTTTCATCTATTTCACTCTTGGTGGCCAGGTTTCATAGACATGAAGGAGGATGGAGAGAACTTCTGAGCAGTACACACCTCCTTTGGTCGATAGCCGGATATCACGTCTACGCCAGAGACTACATAAACTGGCCATATGCGAACTAAATCTTACATGTTGTAAATTGACTGCACATGAATTATTGAGGTAAACTGTTGCACACTAAAACAAAAAGCGTCAGCAGCAAAGGCAGAAAAGTTCTAAACTGTTTATAAATACTTCAATCGTGTGTATCAGAATAATTTGTTGACGATGAAAACCAGTCTGGTGTTTATCGTAAATCGCCCAAAACTAATTTACGATGCTTATTGGTGACTAATCTTAAAACAGATGTTCAAAATCGATCCTATTCGTTACCGTTTGAGTAAATGGCTATTTCTATGAACAGAAATAATAATATTTGAACTTATACTACACTACAAATACTTAAGAAATATATATAATAATGCTAACTGACAAAACTAGAACCTACTGTGTTTCAATAATAAAAAACACAGAGTGGTTTGTTAAACTATTAAATAAGACTAGGCATTAGAAGGCAGCAAGGAAGGTCATTTGAAATACATTGATTTTTATAATGCTTAACCAACCTCATTTTCACGTTTGAAGATTACAATCCGACCACCATGATCACCAGTTGCTAGGAGATCTCCAGTTTTATCATATTCAACACAGGATATTATGTCAGCTAAAAATATGAGTACAAAATGAGCAATACCGTATAGCCTACCTTCGTTTACATCTTCACACGTCCCCTTGATTTGGTTGAAATACCAACCTTCTAAATTTACTACATTGTAAAGAAAGAATACATAAGGATTTAGAAATATTGATTGGGGAGGGGCTATTCTTATTTGGCTTAAAATAAATGTAAAACTTAAGAGTACACCAGAAATCAAAAAACTGAATATACACAGCAACGCATAGAATACTTCGCCTTAAAGCCTCTGACTTGACTGACTGGTTTCAACATAGAACTGTGCACGGGTGTGCAGCACTTCGAGTTGCCACACTCCCTTCATGTACCATACAAAGCAAGAGAAGAGAGTAAAGGGAGGTTCAAAAGACAGACAATAAACAGAAGTGTGAGGCAAAAAGAATAGTAAAACGGAAGAAAAATAGAATTTTACTGTACATTATAAATCACAAAGAATGGATGCATCTGCGCCAGCCATTCAGAACGATTTTGAGCCATATAACCAATTGTCTCTAGCCTTCATTAGTTTTTATCATCCCGAGGACTCCAACCAGACAGCAGTCTACACCTCCCGACGTGGCTGGCTAAAACTAACTCCTGTGGATTTCATCGACTGATGAAGCCATGTTTTGGTAGATCAACACTAGCACTTTCGTTACCTGATCGGTCCTATGCCAGCTAACATTGCCTGTCGAGGAAGGCGATAGCTAGGCTAGGCGTGCGTAACTCATATCCTAACCATTTCAATCGATGTAACTTCACAACTTCATCGATTGATTTCCCATTCCATCTACCTAGCACTCATCGTCTAACCTCGATATTGCTCACCGTATTATATCACTTAACACGGAAGAGACAACGCAGAGACTTTGCCTCTTCATGTCTTCCACTTTCAGTGGCCATGTCTCGCTCACGGCCATAAAGGAGGACGGAGCAAACTGTTGAGCAGTACAAACGCTCTTTGGTCGACAGCCAGCAGGATATCATTTCTACGCCAGAGATGGCGTAAGTTGGCATTTGATAAACGAGCCTTCTGCATTCGTGCTGAAATTTCGTCATCGATCAACCAACTCGCGTTGGCTGATGCAACTGTCCAAATAGGTGACGTGGTCAACACCTTCCACTAACCACTTCACTCCCTATATTCAAGCTAGGAGTGAGTCAATGTAGTACAGTCAGTCCTGTAGCATCATTGTACAATTGACGGCAGTGAATCGCATGCCAAACATTCGAAGATTGCTGCTCAACGTTTTCAACTTGAACTTCATAATGTAGTGGAGTAACCAAGAACTGCAGTTATATTATACACGGTAGATAAAAGAACGTATTAGACGACATCGTGAGGATCTGGTGTGTTTCTAATTGGAAACTGAAGCATTCATACTTCTTTAGACATACCTATTGTATCTAATGTCCTCGTGTCAAGCTGCAAGCATGTACACTTTAATAAGGAAACACTGAATGTAGTTAACAATACTACGTGGAGAAAATCGATTCTAGTTGCTTCATTTTGCCAGGTATAGGAGAGGAAAATTAAAAATACACAAATAGAAACGATAAGGTAAAATTGGCTGAATCATGAATGTGCTAGACAGTCGATCCTCCGAAATCCAGAAATGTGAAGACTGATATCAAACTTCATTCAATATTTCCAGAACTAAAACACGAATCTTTGATGTATCCTATTCCTGGGTGCTTTTTTCGTATGTCATAATACGAAAGTAGTTTTTACGGTGAACTTTACACCTTTGTTTTAATAGTGGTGCGTATTCTTTTACAGTTCAAGTCAAAAAGACCAGTATATTTACCACAGTAAATCACAAAAGGGTTCCACTAACTTTTGCAATAATTTTCCAAATATTTTTCTTATCAGAAATAACTTAATTAAACATTTATATTCAAAATAAACAGTTGCAATAGAATTGTTTCGTAACAGTAATATATTTGTAAACTACTGACATCGACATGTCGTAATATTAGATAGTTGGAGGCAATCGGTAGGAAGCCATGCTTGGACGTAGGTTTCGTGCTAGTTGGCACTCGTCAGCAAGGTGTATCTGCAACCGCCTTGAAGGAACTCATGTCCCTTCTGCGATTCGAAACCACGTCACCCAGGTACCTCTGCAGTCAGAGACGTTACCACTGAGCTATCGAGGCTTGTGAATGACCTCCTGTAGGACTGTAGGGGGTATTTTGATTGGACACTAGTAACTAGTGTGACATGTCTAGTCCTTTCTTCGGTGCAGACTGAATTCTATCAGTCAGGTTTGCGATGTGGCCACCATTCTAGGTAGCTCGCCATCCCTCCAACTATCTAATATCATCAAATCAATGTGCACCATGATGGCGAGCTACCTAGAATGGTGACCACATTGCAAACTTGACTGATAGAATTCAGTCTGCACCGAAGAAAGGACTAGCCAGACACGTCACACTAGTTACTAGTGTCCAATCAAAATACATGTCGTAATAGCTAAACAGATTCAAGTGACATGAATACTGAAGACCTTCAGTCGTTTAGGGTGGATGTATTCGAAATGATAGCTCTATCTATACCACCTTAATTCTGCTTAGATACCTCGGCTAAATGTAAACATGTAGGATCAAATTATCTGCAAGGTATAGTCGCATATTTTTCTTGAAAACCCAGTGTTTGATTGGCAAAAGATCATCCCTACTGGGTTAATTGATGATACTGGTTGGTGTTAGTATTTAATTATTGATACTATATATATTTTTATTGAGGCTCAGTTAATTGCTTTTTCTATTTTATGTGATGTGGAATGTTTGTGGCTCATTGTGTTTTGGTAGAAATGTTCTCCAAGTTGGCATTCGATATGGTATCAGTTCCGATGATACTATCCGCTGACTTGAAATTAAGTTGAAGACGATGATTTGGATAATACGCGAAGCACTTTCCAAAAGTTCGGAGGACACTTTGACTAGAACTCATTCACATTCAGCATTTAGGGAAAACATTAGAAAATGGGCTATATGAAAAAAACTACAGCACATTTTAGAGGTTAAGCTTAATAATCTAAGCCTTGGCTTTTCAAAATATCAACTTCAGGATCAGTATCTACAAAGTGTAATAATATAGAGATACGAATAAACTTTGTTTATCCTTTGCTTAACCATGTAGGGTGGTGTTCAGAAATGCAAACATTAGCATGACTAAGTGTACACCCGACGTCACTAGGTCCATAGGAGCTAGTACGGGAAGTAATATACTAGCATCAACATATAACTAAGTCTTTACAGTGAGACTAAGTGCTACTTGTAAAATAAACACTAAATACGGTAATCATTTTTGATTGGACACTAGTCAGCACCTAGTGGCCACCCAGAATGGTGGCCACATTGCAAGCTTGACTGATAGAATTCAGTCTGCACCGAAGATAGGACTGAACACATTACACTAGTTACTGATTAGTGTTCAATCAAAAATGTCCAACACAGTCCTACAGGAGGTCAATCGCGAGACTGAATAGCTCAGTGGTAACGTCTCTGACTGTAGAGCTCACTGGGTGACGCGGATTCGAATCTCACAAGGGACATGAGTCCCTATGAGGTTGCAGATACGCCTTGCTGATGAATGCCACCTAGTACGAAACCTAGGTCCAAGGCTTCCAGCCGATTGTCTCCAACCATCTAATACCAACAATACGGTAATCATGTTCAAATTTCTCTGCTACTCCATTACGAAGGCATAAGTAGGATGATGCTAAACCGACTCTCTTCCAGAAATACCTATACACATCATTCTTGAAAACATCTCAGCCACAGCAGATTAAAACGTAGTGGGTTGGTAATTACCAACAATCGAATATTCTACAATTCAGTCAAAAAATGTATCATGACTGGCTAGCAACTATAAAGAATACCCTGAAGTGGTTGAACGCGTTGACCACTTCACTTATTTAAGAATTTGCATCAGCCTTAATGGACTGATAGGTGACGAAATCTTAGCATGGATACAAAAAACTCGTGCAACAATCGCAAGCTTACGTCATCCTTGGAGTAGATGAGAAACCTGACCATTGATTAAAAGATGTGTAATGTGCATCAGTCCGTTCACTCCTTTACGGCTGTGAGACATGACCCCTGAAACTCAGTCAGCAACTATTAGCAATAGATACCACAATCAAGGTTCAACAGCACCAACCAATCAGATCGTTAACGTTTCACAAAGAATTCACGACAACTAGTGTGATATGTCAAATAACAGCAACTTTGAGAAACTGGGATGTATTTTTGCTGCAAAGGACAGAGTTCCTCATAGATTCTGTTAATTGACATGTCATACCAGTTTTCGTGAATCCATTGTGAAACGTTAACGTCCTGGTCCATTTCCTCGACATCATTTGGTGGAACCTTGACTTGATTGCAGTATCTATCCTTTATAGCTGCTCTCCCTATCTTCGTAGTAGGGGTCGATGCAGACCAGCGCAGCAACATCATATCACATTTGACAGGCAAATATCATGCCAAACATACAAAGATTTCCGCTCAAGGTGTTCAGAAGACACGGCACTCAATAAGCTACCTCCCAACTAATAGTTGCTACCCTGACTTGGTGACCAGGCTTGCATGTTGCACTGACCCAATGAACTACACTAGCTGGAAAGGATGTTCCTGAGCTCCTATCCTGCCAGAAGTACCAAGAACGTTAACAAGCAGGTATATAGATTATTGGCAGACAAATGAAAGGTAAATATAATCAGCGAATTCTCGTTTATCGTACTATTTTATCTAATGCCTTTCCGAAGTGTGACGAATTGGATTAATGAACTTTTGTGTTATTTTACGTTAATTTAGTCAGCAAAACACCACGGGTACAAATACTACAGGAAAATAAGACAATGTAACCAGTAAATTTACTGCAGTCAATTGCCTAGTACAGTGCTCTGAGAAAGCAACAGAATCTATGTTGGAACCACTCATCTTGACTATAAAAGGACAAGTGTTAATTGCATTATACTGATCCTCAACTTAAAATACTATGGAAACCACATTATAATTATACTGCACTACACCGCATCCTACTTTAAAAGTGAGACAATGTAGTGTGGGAACAATAAACCAAAGAGCAGCACAGAGCTATGCAATCACTTGCACACTGCAGTTTATCAATTAGCCCAACAACCATATTTCAACATATAGCTAACCTATACTCGCGAGCTTTTATCTTTCCTAAGATACTGCTTTGTTGTAGTTTTGTGGATAGATTTTTACCAAACAACCCGTTTGGTGTTGAATTCCATTGGATCAAAGCATGGTGTAAGATCTATGACGTTTTCCGCGTCAGTCTACTTGTTCATCAACGAAGCTCATTTAGTTGAAGAGTGACCTATCCTTTTAAGTTGACTACAAGCTGAGCTTGTGTTAACAAATTTTTACACTGCAGGTGCTTTCAAATTACCGGCCGAAAGAAACTCTCCATACTATTTAGGTTGACTTCATGTCACACACAGTGACACATTATAAAGAACTGGACGATGTTGCAAGCACCGCTTATTACTCACGATCACGTCTGATAGGGATTCTCATCCTACCATAATGCCCTAATCATACCTTTAGATTAACTTGTACTTTGTTAAGCAGACCCCACAATGGCCAGACAACTAAAAACTGGGATTGTAGTTTCTCGTACGTTTTGGGATTGAGGATGAATTGCAGTGTCTTTTAGATGAAGCGAACGAACAAATCAAGGATTGTCGTTTGACGATTGGGATATTTACATAAAACTTACAAAGTAGACTGAAATGACGCCTGCGAGGAAGGTGACCAAAAGCTACTCATAACAATGAAAACATAAATTCTTGGTGACTAATACAGTATATCCGTGCAATTATCGGAGTACGAACGTGGAACTTACCTCCCATCCGAAACGCGAGGTCAGTCTACTGTAGCACAATTCTTCGAAAGCCGCGCCTCGAAAACTAAAACATTTAGAAAGTAATCATTTGCATTAAGTAAGAAATCGTATCGTTTGTGAATCACAGCATAATTAACTGAGGTCAAGTTATTTCTTCTCACTTTTTTTCAAGTTTATTCGCTTGTTTCGAAGTGAGCGGAAACCACCCTGTGATTCTGAAGTGCATGTATAGAATGCGCCCAACAATTTACATGTTTTCATTAAAAGTGCAAAGGGGGAATAAAGGCTTTCAGTCCTCGAAGAAATGTCCCTATGAATATGGGTTCTATAAACATATATCCCCGTGCTATATCTGTTTGCATTAGGTGTAATCTTTTTCGACTAGTGGCTCTGTAATTGATCTCATTTACGGCCACGACGTCAGCTGACGAACCGTTACCTTGAATCTCCACAACACGAAGATGTCGAATGTACACAGTACATCTACACGGAACAGGCTGAGGTTGTTTACCTAGCATTTTACCAAGTAAGGTAATACTGCCGTTCGTCAACCTATTTTATAGCCTGACCCTCATATCGAAGCTCTTGTACCAGACTGTTATCAGTTACGTCGTAGCTTGCGCATCCTGCATTACGCAGTAGTTATTGTCAGCAAACTAATTTTACTGTCAAGACTCGGTTCACCTGAAACCATTCTGCAGGGCTTTCTCTAACCTCTCTCTTCAGCCTACGCTTAGCCAACAATTTTCTGGTACTGCTGCACAGAGTTTTCCTCTTAAGGTCGTGCGGGGTATCTGCATCACGTTTTCATGTGGCTACTTAGATACTTTAATCAAATGATGGATACGACGAGCAACAAAGTATGACCTATATCTTCTTTCAGATTTTTAACGCTTTCTTCATCTACTGAATAATGGATGACCCTCCATTTATATGACCAGGTATTCACAGCTTTAATTACCACCTGAAATGCTTTCGGCAAAAAAGGTTCATAAACACGATTGCTCTTAATTTCAAAGGTCGTCAGTCAGCAATCTCAGTAATCGTTCTGAACCCGTTTTTCGCTAGCATTTTGCATTCTATTCCGTCATAGCTGACTACATTCTTTAAATCTGTTTTGTTTTTGATGTTCCTCGGTTCTGTTTGTTTCTAAAGTACACTGAGATTACTATTCAAGTACACTATGGACAGATACGCCCTGACCAACAGTATAAGTAGTGAATTCGTCAATATCTATTTCCAAACACCAGAAATGAAACTTTATACTATGATTTTCCTGATTTTAGTATGTGACATTTTTGTAGACCTTCAGTTCCCAATGCCAATAACATGGTTATGTTACCATTAGAGGGTAGCTTCTTGACATTTTCCGTTCACTTGTCCTCAAATTCAATATTGGGTTAGTGACTGGTGCACTCATTCAACTCGCTGCTTGGAGAAGAAAACCGCGATCTGAAAACCAGATAAAACCTGAGGAAGTTGAATAGGAAACTATCCGAGTTAAGCTTTCGTCTGTCTGTGACCGGCAAACAGGTGTTGGCTAGTCTGTCTCAGAGGACCTGTGCAATATGAAAACAAAAGGAGGATATCAATTAAGGAAGAGACAGTCTCGCTACGTCCTGAAAGGTTATTCACTGCTCATGTAAATACAATAAGCAGGTGGGTCGCCAACCTCGTCTTAATTTATTACAATTTAGTTTGCAGACAAAAATGTTTTAATGTGGTTCCCGCTAACTCTCTAGAGGCAATAACAACCTACGGTATTCTGGGCGATTATGTGAGCACTGATTAATCGCTGTTGTTATGTTTTGTATACATATGGAGACATCTGTGAATTCAGTGACGACAGTTAATGCATGGGGATTTATGAAAGCTTAGTCAGTTTATCCAGCTAGTGTTTGTTATTATCCAACTCTTTTAGTCGTATTGGGGTCAGTAGATGTCTTGCAATCTGCTGTCAACGTAGGTATGAGTAAAAGTGTTATAAGTTAATTTACTCGCTTCTGAAGAAATATATACGTGATGCCTCTTAAAATCTCTCCGAAATCCTCATACTTTTTGGCCCACATCTAAGTGAATAAATTTCATGAAAAACGAAAAGAATTAAGTCAGACGATAGAAAACATGTTTTGACTATCCATTCGGTACTTTGGAAAGTTCAGAATGCATGGTGTTGAGTGTGGATTGCTCTCAAATGCTTCTTCTCACTTCCATCATGGTATTGATTTCCATTCATTCTTTATACTCTTTTCAGTTTCTAATTTGCCCTGACAACCGAATTTTCATCGTCTTTTGGCTTGGTTTTCCTTTATTACATGACACGGTCATTCTCTTCCATGAAGGCACCCATCATTCCCTCAGTATAAGGAGCCTGTGGAGTCTACACACCAATGGCGATTGGTTTTTCACTCGGCACATAAAAGTCCTAAACAGAAAAGTCTAAGTAGACATTCTCCTAGCGGTGTCTGAAATCAGTGAGCCTCCGAAGTATCTGCCAAGGATGGGACGTAGATCTATCGGACAAGGATACAAGCATCTATTTCTTGTCATTAATTGTGTAACCTTTTATGATTTTGACTGAATCTCTCCTCATTGTGCGAATACGTGACATTTACTGTAAGGCGGTTAATGAATTTGTCTTATGTTGGCCGTTTTCTTAGGGCCTATCACTGTATAGTTAGCAGTAAATAAAAAACAGTGTGTCACCTGTTTTTCGCCATTGTGTTGCCTGGTCAGGTTCGTCGCTTCCAGCATTGGCGACACAAACTCCCCTGTGAGTCTTAATGTAGTTCCAGTCAGCGGCTGCATGCTGAATTCCAAGCATCAGCTGGACAAACGAGTGTAACGATTGATTACACTGAGGACCGAAAGATTTATTCATATCTGTCACGATTACAAATACAGAGGGGATGGAATTAAAGATCCCATAGCTCCTCACTTTGTTTCCAGGCAACCAGGAATGCTAACTTCATAGCAATTCACACACGTGCCCAAAACACACTGAAGCATATCGACAGCAATCGTGGTCTTTTAGTGGACAATTTGGGAAGAGTGGTCATAAAATGCCATACGTAGGACGACTATCTGGAAAGGATAAACCATTATTCTCACAGCTATCTTGGAACTAACGACGATATGATGACCTACAAGGCACTCAACCACTTACAAAACTTGAGTAGCAGCATATCACTAAAAGAGCATTGAATTGATCTCAGGACAAATCCAAGTGGGACTGTCAACCACAATGAAGCAATATGGATATGCTGCAGTTTCTCTTATATTGAAGTTTGTCATTTCTGGAATTAATTGTAGGCTGACGTGGCCACTGGCCCACCAGTTGAGGAAGGGTCGAGACGGTCATACGAAATCAAAGGGTCTGCTCATATCAGGTGGAGGGACAGGATTTGTATCCTGATCATTTGCTTGATACACTTCATGACTTTCCATTTTTACTTATTCTTTGGGATCTTGCAGATAACGATCTATTTACCTTCACAATCGTCTTGCCTGCTGTAAGAGCTATAATTCTTTCTATGATCACATTATGGACTAAACCGCAAAGGAGGTGGTGTAGTCACCTATCTCAAGAAATGCTTAACCGTGAGTAGCATAGAAGCACTAGCTCACGAAAGTGAATCCTGAGAACTTCTACGCTACAGGCTTAAATGCACAGGCCAAGACATTGACCTCATTGCTATGTACCGCGGTCCTGACAGCAGTGCGGATGACTTCGTAGCAGAGAAGGTAGGTTCCTGGACTTCGAAATGTCCAAGTTTCGTAGTCGGCGACTTCAACGCCTCAACAGTTGACTGGATGAGCCTTACAACTCCAAATTGCAGGCCCATTTGTCTTACCAGTACTTTAATCAAGACATTGGAAAGAATCATCAAGAAAAGCATCATGGCATATCTGGAAACACAGTTGGTTACTCAGAGCACAGCTTTTCCTCCGAGGAAACCTCTCATGCCTGTAATATCTCCTCACTGCAAGATAAAGCTGATTCAAATCAAGGGACAACAGAAGATCCGTTGACATCGTCTTCATAGGCTTCAGCAAAGCCTTTGATAAAGTACTGGCTCAGGGAATTTCTCATAGATAGGAGGCAGAGGATTAGGACCAACTCGCAACTCTCCTCTTGGATAGCAGTGAGTATGAGAATGCCACAAGGCACAGTACTTGGACCTCTCTTATTTATTTTGGAAATCAATGAGTTATCTCTGCTCACCGACTCCCCTATGGTCCTACACGCAGATGATTTAAAAATTTGGAGATAGCTGAAGGGCAACAGTGACACGTCTACGTTGCAAGAGGACCGCAACAAACTGTCATGGTGGTCCATAAATGGATGACCCCGATCAGTGTGGCAAAATGTGCGATCATGCGCATAGGACAAGCAAGCACTAGTTCCTACGAACTAGGGAGAATAACACTCCCATCAGTTCAGACTCACTTGGGTCTAGGTGTCATATTTAGTCACGATTCAAAAACTACAAAACACTGTCGCGCGTTGGCTGGGCGTAGTTTCAGGTCCTTATGGGCAATTCGCACAGCCTTTACTAGAATCACCAGAGATATATTCACCTCCTTATATACATCTCTGGTGGGGTCAAGACTAGAAAACTTTATCTAGGTAGCCAGTCCTTGCCTTAAAGGGGACTCACAGATTCTAGAAAGGGTTCAAAGGAAGGCAACACGTATGCTTTTTGGCATGACTAACTTATCATACGGGGAAAGACTAGACAGTTTAAATCTCTTCTCCCGATCACACCGTAAGCAGAGAGGAGATTTAATCATAATGTTTAAAATTTTGAATAATGACTACGGACCTGACCTATTCTCTCTTTTCTTTCCCACAAGGTCGGAACACCTTAGAGGACACAGCAGGAGAGTTCAAAAGCCAAGAAGAAATCATACTGCTGTTGAGTACTGATTCTCACACCGAGTCATAAACTCTTGGAACTGACTCCCAGAAGAAGTGGTGTCTGCAACCTCAACTGATTCGTTCAAGAAGGGTTTGGAAAAGTACAGAAACTTACTAGAAAAGGATTAACATGGGCTTCAAGCCTTCTATCCTCAACCAATAAATCTGAAATCTGAATCTGAATTAAAGATAATGGACATTGAATTGTACTTACAAGGTCGTTCATAAAGACCTTGTCTCCTGGTCTTTCCGCGCATTGTTTTGTTATATTGGTGCAGGTGAGTCGGTCTGGAGTTTGTCCTCCTTTTTAGCCGTCATACAATTTTCATATCTTGTCACAGGCTAGATAATAATACTGGGTACTAATTAGTATCCAGTATTCTGTGACTCCTTACACATCTGGGACTGGAGAAATTTGTAGCGTGTTATTATTAAGCCAGTCTACGACATAGAAGTATCTTATGTCAATACGTTAAATAAGAATAGTCCAAAAGCATCGGTTATTACTATCTTGAATATTTTAATGCTAAAACATACGGGACTGTTTCGGGCATGAAGGCTATGTATCTGTGTCATTTGAAGTGGTGCGGATGTTTGGTCAGTGTATAATAACCCTCTGCTGTGAAGTACATTCTGAAATATCACTGGGATAGCGTATAGTTAAGTATACTGCAATCAAGATAACTAAAGAGCCGTTCAGATTAACTGGCTATAGGTCAATGGATAGTAGGAATGAATCGTCAATGCTTATTTAAATTGTACTCGGCTTTATTTTGATCGTCTGGGCTTCGTTTCTCTCAGGCATTGTTTATCATTAATTAAACCCAAACCTAGGGTTAACCTTCTGACTATTAAATTGAGTTTCGCAGATAAGTTTACTTTATGTGAATGAGGTTTACAAGATGTGAAGCAGGAATGGTTGTAAATCCTGGCTGCTGCAGCTTAGGGCAGACCACAAAATTATAGGGTATTGTTTGGTCATTATAGTGATTGGTTTCCATCACTATATTGGTTTCCTGTTCGGCTTCGTTTATTCATGCCTGCTCTCTTTGTTTTTGAGTTTTGCGACCGGAGTCAGCCCAAATTTGTTTCTACGTATTTTGTGTAATTTTTGTTAATTTCGATGTCTCTTGCTTTACAGGGTCGTACAGACTTGTCATATTCCACTTTATAATTCACAAAAATGCTCCAAGGATTAATTAAAGGTGCCTTACGATGCAACAGGTCCGCCATTTCGAACTTGGTATTTCGTGGATATGCAGCTCAAGTTCAGCGTCCGGCTCCTGATTTTTGTGGAATGGCAGTAGTAGATGGCCAGTTTAAGGAGATTAAACTTCAAGACTATGCTGGGAAATACTTAGTCCTGTTTTTCTATCCTCTTGACTTCACTTTCGTCTGTCCAACCGAAATTATTGCATTTTCTGACCGAATTGATGAATTCAAGAAGGAAGGAGCTGAAGTTGTTGGTGTTTCAACTGATTCTCACTTCAGCCATCTCGCCTGGATAAACACACCACGTAAAGTAAGGGACTTTTTGAAATGTACTACATTAATAAATAAAACTAAAGTCATATTTCCCTTATCTTGAGTAAGGATTTAGTGGGTCTTGTATAATAGGTAACCTTTATAAGTAATGATAATCATGAATAAGTTATATACGTATCTGTGGTTCAATATTTTAAGATTATATAATAGGATATCGTTTCATGCTTTCATCTTATGCCTTTATCGCAATGAAAATGCAATGCAGTCCTCTGGATTTGGGTACAGAAAAATTGCGGACCTTCAGTAGTACAACTGCAAGCTTGAGTAGTGACTCAGTTGTGAATCGTGGTGCATCAACGATACGTAGTTTATAAACGTTATATTTTAGTTGATTAACTTACGCGGGTCATGTTTTCTAGCTTCTCATTATCTTCGTTATTATGAGACATAATGCGTGTTTCTTTTTTCTTAATATGCCTTTCTTTCACTAGGAAGGAGGTTTAGGAGGTTTACGTTACCCGCTTCTTGCAGACTACAAAAAGCAAATAACTCGTGACTACGGAATTCTTCATGAGCAATTAGGTGCTGCATTCCGTGGACTCTTCATCATTAATCCTGAAGGTATAATCCGTCAGATTACTATCAATGATCTTCCTGTTGGAAGATCTGTTGATGAAGTGTTGAGGCTGGTCAGAGCATTCCAGTTTACTGACAAACATGGCGAAGGTAATTCTGTTTTGTTATTTCCTTTTGTACGTTTATATTATTTGACTTTTGGGCTAGAAATTAGTCAATAATCTAGATATCTTAACAACATAGAACTTGGCAAAGTGTATCATTTCAACTTGCCAACAACTTGAATTAATTATACTACATTTAGTAAGCTTTCCAAAAATTGCGTATTGATAATCATGCGACAAGACAGGATGTTGTTTTTGAAAGTTTACATATAGATTAATAAATTATGCGGCTTCAGATATCATACATTGTACTATCAACTCAATCAGAAAAGAAGTGACAGTTCCCGTGACATTTGAGTATATTTTAAATGATTGTTTAATTTTTTTCAGTTGTTTCGCTGATTAGAAATCTTACCGCATAATTTTCATACGAAATGCTCCACTGATAGTGAAATTTCAGGCTTAGTTTATTATAGTTATGGTTTTTCCTCTGATTTTCATCAGTAATAAAGTCTTGTAGATATTAGGGATAGTTGTTAAGTGTTCATTTAACAAAACGGTTTCAGTAGTGAAACCTTTATTTCACATATTCTTAGTAGTTTTTGAGATTGTCACCCTGTTCCACCCTGATGATATACTTTTATCAGTGAAATAAACATTATTTTCTCTCTAAATTATCTACTTTTTATTGTGGGACTGTGTTTCTTTGGTTCAGCATTTGTCTTTCACCTTTTGCTATCCTAGTTTTAAACACTGTTCCTTTCACTGCAGGCTAGATGACTAGTAAAATACTATACGCCATCACACTAAGTGTGACATCTTAGTATATTGAGAAAGAAAGAGTAACAATTATATTCTATGTATTGGTTACTTATTATTGTAAGGTTTACTAATCCAAACCTATATTGTGATAATATGACTAATTCCATTTGATGGCTTGTATCGATTGTTCGCTGCATCATCGATAAGTTGTACTCTAGATTTATCCAGGGTATTCGGAATTTTAATATAACTGTGAAAACAACGAAATAAAAGAACAGTGGAAATAAGGCGCATAGTTGCGTATTTATTTATTCCCGTGAGCTGTATTTTGAAGTGGTGTCCAGTTAAAAAGACTACTCCTATACTACTGTGTTCTATCACAGATAAGTTAATAGACTAATTTTCAACCATACTCTACCAAAATATTGAGCTTTTAGTCATTCCGTTTTGTGTACCTGTGTATTCTCGTCAATGTTATCAAGTTTTAACTGAGTGGTGTTATGCAGAACATTATATTGATAACCATCTACTACATGTAGAAACATTCTAAATAGATAATAGATAGCATGAGGCATAAATTTCTAAATGAAAACAATTGAAAACAGGAAGCGTAAGTTCTCTGGAATTTAAAGCAAACTAAGATATTTGTATCAACGTACTGCATTTGATTCATATTGCGTAGGCCCCTACAACTATCAGTCTGTAAAGGAAGAATGATGCTCAGGAAGGCTTCGTGTGCTTTTGAAAGTGTGTGGGCGGTTGTTACTTCCCGGCTGCCCACACCGTGGAAGGGAGTTAGTGTTGCGTGACCACAGAGCCCAGGGGACAACTGCTTGAGGCCGGTCACACACGGCCTGTATGACCTGGTTTCTGGGATTGGTTCCGCATTAGTAAACTTACCGCCGGTTACGGACCACCGTAGGGTAAGTTGGGATGTACAATTTTTGGGGTCGACCTTTTCTAACTCCCTCTCTCCAGAGTGGAGAGACAGCATAGCTGGCATGCTGGTCATCTGAGGGAAACACCTCACTGCTGTTAATTCCCTGTTCCCCAGCAGTAAGACTTCGCCCTCAGATCCCCAGCATAGTGTAGGAAAGATTCTTACACAATGCCGGTAACTGCTTTTAGTCTAATCGCTATCCTAACAACCTTCCTGGCATGGTAGGACCTGCAGGAACAGTAGTTCTAGCTAGTGTAGCTTTTTGGGTCATTGCGATGTTCAAGCCCGACCACCACGTCAAGGTAGCAGCTATCGGTCGGGTCAACTATCAGTCTCTACTACTTTTCAAAGTATAACCAGAAAGCATACACTTTTCAAACATGCTATCAACAGATGGTAATAGCGGGTTTTATTACTGTCCATATTCACCTGATTTGTTGAGCTGTAGTAGTAATAGTGGTAGTTAACGCATTGCTCATTCTCATATTCTTGTATTCTTTTTTTAGTATGTCCAGCAAATTGGCAACCAAAAGATCCTACAATCAAACCAGATTTAGTAAAATGCAAAGAATACTTTGAGAAAGTCAACTAAATTTATTGCATGTAGTGTTTGGAGTCATTATAGACGAAATGCATGCTTCAATTCACCTGAGCATACATATCGTTTTGATTTAATGCCCATCACTAATACACACATATACATACATACATATACACAAATGTTTCGTTGTTTCTTCTCTTATATTTCTTGATAATAATTAGAAAATACAGATTTTTCTTGAGAATTGTCTTTTATTAATGGGTTTTGACAACAGGCATATTGTGTAAGTGTGTGTTATTCTTGTGACGGTGGTATAATCCCACGAAATTATTGTAGGCATGTTCGAACATTGTTCCATCTATCAAAGGTTTTAATAATCATCCATTAGCTTTCATATTGTGGAGTAGAAAATGCACATGGTTGTTGAATGCGGGTGTTCTCTTAGTAACCGTTTCCTGATTTCATCTTGTGGAAATATTTTATCCTGCTCATCGAAGCACATTATTAGTTAACTGAGTCTTCTTGGTTTGCACTTTGTTGTCAGTACTTACAAGTTAAGTAGAGTACTGATTTATTGGGTAATTAGGCAAATTGAGTTTGGTAAGGGCTGGCTGGTATATAGTGTAGCTAACCTATAGCGCTATCAGTACCTTACGCATCTATTTCCCGACCGAAAGCTGCTACCTTGACGTGGTGGTCGGGCTTGCATATCGCAATGACCCAACGAGCTACACTGGCTGGAACTTAAGTTCCTGTAGGTCCTACCATGCCAGGAAGGCTGTTTGGATAGCGGTTAGACAAAAAGCAGCTACCCAATCCAATGCCATGACTCAAACAAAAACACAAAATATCATGCCGGATCGGTCGGGGCCCGGATTAACAACGACCGCGCTTCCTGCTGCCGTGTCACAGGGCAGAAGTGATAAATACGCTACTGAGACACACCAAATAAAAAAGAACAAACAAAAACAGGCCGTGTGTGACCGGCCTCAAGCAGTTGTCCCCTGGGCTCTGCGGTCACGCAACCAACTTCCACGGTGTGGGCAGCCGGGAAGTAACAATCGCCCTCACACTCCAAAGTGCACGCAAAACCTCTCCAATCCTCACTCATCTTTGTATCCATCTTCATCTCTATTATCTTGCCTTCCTTCTACCAATGCAACTCCTCTACTTGATGGCCCTTCACTTCCTCTTCAATCTGTGTGCACTGATAACGATGAAAGCCAAAAAGCCACCATCGATAGTCTCCTAAAGCCACGCCACCAATTTCATAAAGGGGCATTTAACGTTAGGACACTTTGCCAAATAGGACAACAGGCATCACTAGCCAAGACTCTGGCATCCCGAGCCATTGATGTATGTTGTGTTTCAGAAACACGCATACAAGACCCAAGTGTGGTTATTCACCTAACCCCACCTGGCCAACAGGATGAATCTGCAAAATTCACCTTGAGGGTGTCAGGAGATGCGACGGCTAGCTCTCGAGGATTAGCTGGTGTTGGGATAGCTTTAAGTACTAGGGCAGAAAAGACATTACTTGACTGGATCCCGGTAGATAGCCGAATGTGTGCTGTCCGTCTGAACGGATCAGTGAAAAGGAGAAAGGACTGCACTACCCGCCGATGCCTTTTCGTAATCTCCGCATACGCCCCCACTGACTGCAGATCGGATGAATTCTACCAAAAGCTGTCTAGTTTGCTGCGAAAAGCTAAACGCTCAGATATTGTCGTTTTAGCTGGTGACTTTAATGCTCAAATAGGGAAATTGTGTCAATCTGAGAAGAATGTCGGCGGCACATACGGAATTCCGTGCCTGCGAACCGACAACGGTGACCGTCTCCTACAGTTCTGTTCAGATGATCGTTTGTTTCTTGTAAGCACTAACTTCAAACACAAGGACAGACACTGTTTGACTCAGCGACCCCCATCATCAAACCAACGCTGGACACAAATAGACCACATAGCAATAAGCTATCGTTGGCGTGGGTCAGTAGGAGATTGCCGCTCCTTCTGGAACACGTGTGTAGATACCGATCACGCACTGGTCCGCGCTCGTGTGTGCTTACGACTGAACGGATGTAGGAAACAGCTGGCGGTAAAACCATCACGTCCCCAGCTCGATCAGCAAACTAAGTCCCTATTTGAGGAAGAACTAGGTAAACACATATCTGAGTTCGACAGCTGCGCTCACCCTGAAGAAGCCTGGAAGAATATTCAATCAGCCATAGATGCAGCTGTAAAAGCTGTGAATAAGGTAAATCCAAAGGTGAGTAAGAACCATTGGATTTCGACTGCCTCATCCGAACTGATAGATGCTAGAAGACTTATTCCGGCGAGCTCCGAATTCAATGAGGAGCGAAAGCTGCACAAAAGGAAACTTACGAAAAGTCTCCGCAAGGACCGTGAACAGTGGTGGTTGACAAAGGCGAAAGAGATGGAAAAAGCATCGGCGATAGGCAACACCAGACAACTATTCAGGCTTATCAGGGAAACAGGCGGTAAAAGGCAAATGATAAGCGAAACAATCTCCGAGAAAAATGCCACCATAATTAGCTCCCAGGATAGACGTCTGGAGCGCTGGAAAGAACACTACGAGGAGCAGTTTAATTGGCCCACATCCACACTTAGCCTGCCGGACATCCAACACCTCCCTGATTGGGATATAGACACAGGTCCTCCGTCCCTAACAGGTTACTAGAGCAGCCACTAATCTGAAGCAAGGCAAAGCAGCGGGACCTGATGGATTGACTCCAGAGGTATTTAAGTATGGTGGAGACAGTTTACTGTCTGCGTTAACTGAGGTTCTAGGCAGCGTCTGGGAATCAGAGGAAGTCCCATCGGGTTGGTGTAAGTCACTGATCATCCCGATATACAAGAAGGGAGACAAGTCTTCTTGTGATAATCACAGAGGCATTAGCTTGACTAATATAGTATCCAAAATCCTAGGCTCAATAATACTGCGTAGACTAAGTGGTGCTCGGGAGACACAAACACGAGAAAACCAGGAAGGTTTTAGGCCAGGTAGAGGGTGTATTGATCATATCTTCACCCTTCGACAGATTCTAGACCATAGGCATTCCTACCGGTGTCCAACAATCATTATATTTCTTGACCTAAAGGCGGCATTCGATTCTGTCGACCGGGAGTTTCTCTGGCGATGCTTGGCTGTAAAGGGAATGCCGAGAAAATACATTGCACTGATTAAGGCACTCTACTCGTACTCATGCAGCAAGGTGAGGGCTTATGGCGAGTTGTCATCTGAAGTGGTGACGACTAGTGGCGTCCGTCAAGGATGCCCATTATCCCCATTCCTATTCAACTTCATCATAGACGTACTAATGGACTTAACCCTAACACACTTCAGCGACTCAGGGATTGACCTGCTACCAGGGAAGAATCTCGTTGACTTAGAATATGCGGACGATATAGTCTTTCTAGGCGAGGACTCCGACAAAATGCAGAGTCTACTGACCACCTTGAGCTGCAATCTAAGAATGTTTGGCATGCGATTCGCCCCTGTAAAATGTCAGATGATGATGCAGGATTGGACTTCACCGACCCCTAGATTAGAAATAGGAAGTGAAGTGGTAGAGCACGTTGACCGCTTCACTTACTTGGGAAGTACCATCAGCCCCAACGGGTTGATCTCTGACGAAATCTCAGCACGGATACAGAGGGCTGGTTTCGCATATGCCAGTTTACGCCGTCTCTGGCGTAGACGCGATATCCGACTATCGACCGAAGGGCGTGTGTACTGCTCAACAGTCCGCTCCGTCCTCCTTTATGGCTGTGAGACCTGGCCATTGAGAACAGAAGACATGAAAAGATTAGCTGTCTTCGATCATAGGTGTCTGCGTTCTATCTCCCGTGTGAAGTGGTATAATAAGGTGAGCAATATTGAGGTTAGGCGTCGAGTGCTAGGTAAGGCGGGGAAATCAATCGATGAGACTGTGAAATTACATCGACTGAGATGGTTAGGACATGTGTTATGTATGCCTAGTCATCGTCTTCCTCGACAATGGGCAATGTTAGCTGATATAGGGCCAGGCTGGAAAAGAGCTAGCGGCGGTCAAACGAAAACTTTGCACCAGTCAATGAAATCCACAACAGTTAGTCTAAGTCACGTAGGGAGATGTAGACTTCCTGGTTGGGGTCCTCGGGACGGTAAAAACCAATGGTTGGAAACAATTGGTGACATGGCTCAAAATCGTTCTCAGTGGCGCAGATGCATCCACGCCTTGTGACTTATGATTTCCGATGAAACTGTTCGTTCTTCGTTATTACTACTCCTTTGTTTCACAGCTCTGTTTACTGTCTATATTATGCATTTCTCCTACTTTCTTCTCTTCCTTTGTGTGCTACAGAGAGGGAGTGTGGCGACTTGAACCGCCGCACATCAGTGCAAAGTTCTATGTCGAAAACAGACAGACAGATCTATGTATTTAGTGATAGGAAATCATTGCATTTCTCATTCATTAATCATGCCTAGTTACGATTTCAAATCACCAGTGTAATGGAGCTATATTATGGAGATAAAATTAATTTCGGTTCATGGATTAGGTCGTGTACCACGCGAAGTCTGTTGTTATAATGTAATTGTCAAGTTGCTGTTAATAGACAGGAAACCAGTAGTTCAGCGAAGAGTCTCTTCTGTAAGTTCAGATGAATTGGATGCTGATATAAGAGCGTAGTAAGGAAAGTGATGAGTTGTCACAAACGATTGTTAAAGAAGAATTACGTGATAACATGGATAGTTTGATGAAAGATTTGTGTTCAGGGTGTATATGGAAACAAAGTAATATACTGAATTACGCAAGGGTTTTCAGTAGTTAGAAAAATAAACATACAAACAAAAGTCAAGTCAAATCAACAGAGTTGTTACCATGATAGTAGAAGTGGTTAATTAATTTTCTTTTGTATGCATACTTCTGGTTCTTCCAATTGAATGGCTAGGGCTTCTGCAATACAAAGAAGATGGAGACGTGTTATCTTTGTCAGGTTGTTCTTCACTTTATAGATTACTTTGAAGCAGGAGGCATTTTTTGAGATGGAATGACCAGTGGTGACGAGCGAGATGTTCGATTATTGCACTCCTTATACGGTCACTCTTCGCTGAACTACTGGTCTTCTGTCTATTAATGTTCGAATGAGGATTTTTCCTGAATTCAAAAATTGCTGTTAGTTAAACAGTATTCGAAAGTAGTGATTTATCGGTTGAAAACTAACTGTCGTAAAGCGTACGGTG